TATTGTGAGATCATAACCCCAAACACAACCTTAGTTCATATGCGTTTTTTTTTTTTTTTTTGGGGAACCAAAATATCATGGGACTTACTTCCTTTAGATAAAAAGTGATAAAAACACATTTATCATAGAAATAGCATGGAGTGTAATAGTGATACACATTTTTGTTTGGGAAGTAAAATACCATGGAGTGTATTGTTTGGGGACTTGGACAATTTAATGATTTATCCAACACCAAATAAAAGAGAGATCAAAGTACCCTAGCCAGTAGCCGGTAGTTAAAGAAAAGCCAAAATATGCTTTATAAAAACAGAGGATGGGGGAGAAGCACATCGTCACTTTCTCCCCTTCATGTGACTTCTCCCTGCTACCCTTGCACCATGTTCCCTCCTCGTCCCTCCCTCCTTTTCTTCCTTCTCCTCCTTTCTTCCCCTTTCTCCCTCCTCCAGATCTCCAACGCCGCAGCTGACGACGATGGTACTTCCGTCCCCATCGACCCAAGTCTCCAGTTTGAGAACCCAAACCTCCGTGAAGCCTATATTGCCCTCCAAGCTTGGAAAGCGGCCATTTATTCAGACCCATATAACTTCACTGCAAACTGGGATGGTTCTAATGTTTGCTCCTACATGGGTGTATACTGTGCTCCTTCTCCTTCTAATTCCAGTATTCGGGTCGTCGCCGGTATTGACCTTAACCACGCTGACATTGCTGGCTACCTTCCTCTTGAGCTCGGCCGCCTCACGGATCTTGCTCTGTTCCACCTCAACTCCAACCGCTTCTGTGGAGTCGTGCCCACCACTTTCCGTCGCTTGAAGTTGCTTCACGAGCTCGATTTAAGCAACAACCGCTTCGTCGGGAAGTTCCCTGACGTTGTCCTCTCCCTGCCGTCGCTCAAGTACTTGGATCTCCGGTTTAATGAGTTTGAAGGTTCTGTTCCCTCCAAGCTGTTCGACAAAGAACTCGATGCTCTGTTCCTCAATGACAACAGATTCCGGTTTGGGATACCGGAAAATCTCGGAAATTTGCCGGTTTCAGTGCTTGTTTTCGCCAACAACAATCTCGGCGGCTGTATTCCGGGCAGTATTGGGAAAATGGGCGCCACATTGAACGAAATCATCCTCCTGAACGACAATCTGACAGGTTGTTTGCCTCCCGAGATCGGGATGCTCGGAAAAGTCACGGTTTTCGATGTCAGCTTTAATCATCTCCAGGGATCTTTGCCTTCTTCCATAGGCGGACTGAGGAGCGTTGAGCAGCTCAATGTGGCGCATAACAGCTTCACGGGAGTTATTCCGCCTGCTGTGTGTCAGCTACCCAATCTCCAGAACTTTACTTACTCTAACAACTATTTCACCGGAGAACCACCCAGCTGCGCTGCTATTTCCGGCAGAGGAAGGGTGTCTAATGGCACCATGAATTGCATTCCTGGCAAGGTGAATCAGAGATCTCCCAGGGAATGTTCAAGTGCCCCACGCCCTGTGGACTGTAGCAAATTCAAATGTGGAGGAAGCGGAGGTGGTGGCGGTGGAGGAGGTAATGGAGGGAGCGGTGGCGGCGGCGGCGGCGGCGGCGCTGTTCCGCATCCACCCTATGGAAAGGCTCCTGTTTTGAGGCCACCGCCCCCACGTCAAGCCACTGCACCTAAGCCTAGTCTTTCCAAACCTCCCCCACCACCGCCTACTTCAGAGTCTTCGCCTTCCACTAGATCACACCCTCCGCCGCCACCATCTTCATACCCTTCACCAATGCCTCCCACTTTCCATCACCCACCACCGCCGACTCAAAGAGTGCCGCCAAGGACGCATCTTCCTCCACCTCCGCCACCAGTTCACAATGAGCCCCAACAACCACCGCCCCCTTCGCCTACTTCCACTTACAACCCACCACCATCAAGCCACTACTCCGCTACACCACCACCACCAACAGTAGAGCAGTCACCGCCTTCCACGCCATCTTATGCACCACCATCTCATTCACCACCGTCAAGCCACAACTATAATACACCACCACCACCAGTAGAGCAGTCACCGTCCCCACCATCTTATTCACCGCCATCAGGCCATTACTATAATACACCACCACCATTTGAGCAGTCACCACCGTCCTCACCACCACATCCACCACCAGCAGGCCACTACTATAGTATACCACCACCTCCACCTGTTCACTATGTGCCGCCATCCGCGCCCGAACAACCGCCTCCACCGTCCACCACAGAGCACCCAGTAACTCCACCTTCACACCCTCCTAGTCCACCATCATCTGGATGCACCACTCCATCATCATCTCCACCACCACCCTCACATAGTTACCATCCTACGCCCTCACCACCAACGCCTCAACATTCAAAACCATTGCCACCTCCTGAACATGGACATTGGCATTCCCCACCTTCACATCATCAAACCCTACCTCCACCACCACCGCCATCACCAACAGAGAACACACCCCTTCCACCAATTATAGGTGTATCATACGCATCTCCGCCTCCCCCAGTAATCCCCTACTACTAATCCAAATCCATTTTAGGGTTGAAGGAAACAAGGAAAAAATTCTTTTTCTACATCCTGCGGTTGATGCCACATTGTGTGTTTTTGTTGAGCCTTAATTTTTATTATTATTATTTTTTTTTTGGTTGGAATGGATTGTTTGTGTAGCAATAATATATATAGTTTCCTCTCCAATCCACCATCATTTCTTTTTGATTTTCTTAATTTTAATGTATGTTATAGGAGCAATGAGTTTGGCAATGGCTACATTGCTAAATCAAACATTCATTTTTCCTCAAGGAGTCTTTAGTGTCACGACATATTAATCAGCCAAAAATCTTTTTTAAAAAATAAAATAAAATCTCAATGTAACATATACTGCGCACCAATTGTGACTTGTTCTTTCTGCCATTAGGCTGCACAAAACATTTTTGTAATAGCATTCACTTTGACTATTATTTACGAAATTTTGCCAACATTAATTGCTTATATTGCGCGCTTGGTGTATATATGAGATCTGTAACTCTGGGATTTTTAACAAAATCCCCCCACTCCAAAGCAAAGCAGGCAGAGTCTCATAAATGACATGAATTTTAGTTGGCATGGAAGTAATATCTGTGTCAGTGTGGGACATCATAGTACTAACAGTTTCCACGTATAATTGATCAGCATTAAATTGGACGATATATGGCAATAAATGGTGTTCAATTGATTTAGGTCTCCTATAGTCATTATTTTGCCATCTATATTGCAAACCAGCAGTTGACAGTGATAATGGTTGCTGGTGTATCAGTCAGAAACTTTAACTTCCTTTGAAGATTTGGGGGAAGAGAGAAGATGGTGGAGATGGAGAATATGACACGCAAAATATGCAAGTATCCATATCATATATCTTATTTATATCTAGTATCAAATCAATCACCCTAGCAACTAAATCCAAACAACTATTCCTCATTCAGACCTGTGTATGGACATGACCAAAAAAATGCATCACACTGCTCTCTCTTGACCATCTCTACAAACAGAGTTATTGCATATGAAAGGCTCTCTGAGAGTACGAGTTCTCCTATTTACACATTCAAAATCAAACCAACCAAATGAAAGCAACCAATGGCTTTGGTAGCATCAACCGAAACGGATGACAATGCATGATATGTCGTCTTTACTCTTTCTCGCCAATGCTTCCATCGTTAAGCGCTTAGCTGCTGCTTGAGGATCCTTTATGCCCTTCACCAAATCAACTGCCTCCTTGTTCGACATAACCTGGCAAGCATATCATACTAGTTACAAACACAGAACTAATAGAACATTTACCAGTTTTTGTTTGTGTCTTGAGTCCTGGATGTTAGTTCATATAAAATATATTTATATAGGATGCAGTCTAATAAAAGAGATAAGACCTTATGCATACTGAGACCTTTTTGTATGAACCAGTTTATGGATTCCAGTGCCAGTTGATAACTTCATGGTAAGGACACTAAATTTCAAGGAGTATATTTGCTAATAACTGATTCAACAACAAAATTTCCAAATAAACAAATTTCTTCAGCAAAAAGGAAAACAACAAAATTTCCAAATAAGAAAAGGAAGGGTCCTAGTGGCTGCTAGACACATTTACCTCTCAAATTAAAGGACCACTGACTTGGCATAAGTTGTTGATGTTTTCTTCATCTTGCATGGAACAAAAGTTCAATATGATTTTCGAACAAACAAAGTGATCAATAACTTGCTAGCTTAACAGCGGTTCTAGCAATTGAATTTGAAGAGCCACTTTGAATATTTGATCCTAGAGAACTACCCTTAGCCCACCACACCATATGTTGGGGAGTGGCTGGCCCAGGCAGATATTGATCAATTTGTTGACCAAATAAACACCACACAGGCACAAGAGAGCCACCAAAAATGCCATAAAATAGGATGCTGGCTAAACCTAATCTATATTGTGCTATACACATGGGATTAAACCATATGATGGTAATCTGCTAAACAAGACACCCCTATAATCTTAATAAAATAATTTGTTTTAGTGTGCACAAAACAAACACAAGGCTGTAAAAGACAGTTTAAAAGGTCTTTCACTAACATTTTTCAATGCATTCCATGGGATTTCCCTAACATCATTACAATCTTGAATAAGAACATTCAAGAGACTGAAGGCCCAACCATCATAACTCTACCATTACCACAAAAATCATATTACTAATTACTGATGCCCAATAAATGTAAATCAATTTGTCTTCATTATCATTTTTCCAAAATTTCACTACTTTCGGATATCAGTTGATACAGCTATCAAGCCAAGTGCTAGTTTTCTATTTCAAGTATCCAAACTTACGACTTGTTAACTAATAACTGGATATAAAGTCTTTCCTCAAAATGCCTGAAAAGGATTCCTCACTGAAGCTCCCATACTTTACTAGAAGCATGTAAATGATATATTTAAGCAGAGGTTCTCTAGACAAGGAACAAACTTTTCAGATGTACAATTCATACTCATGACCTTTAGCATTGCTTCACATTGTCAAGGAAAAAAGATCGATGACTGCAATATTACATGTATCAAAATTACTCGAGCATGTTTTATACAAGGGCCTGCAACAGGATATTATCAAACTTAAACTTGTTTTAGAAATCTGTGTTCCATGACATGTCTTTGTTTTTATCAGGTTGCATGACAGTCTATGGTCTACATTAAACTCAATCCTAAGTTCTCTTCTAAATGCTGAATGGGTCTGACACCCATACAACGTACATCAATCATTTCCCAACAATCTATTTGTAAAGGTAAAAGGAATCATATGGTTCATCCAAGGTAACGATCTAAAATCCTGCTGACAAAAATGATGCCAAAAGGTTGGTTTTTAAGACCTTGATGGACATATACACAAGGCTGCAAGCATTCATCTAACTGTTGGAAACTTGTGGGAGAAGGCTTCTGATAAAGTGAGGCATCTTTCTGGAGGTGACAAATATAAAACTTGAAGGACTTCCATCATCAATGGTTCTATTCCTCCATGAAGGCTTTAGTTCATCTTGATCTGGTGTTTTGCTGTAAGTATTAGAACAAAAGTTGGTCCTTACTATTTTTTTTTTTTTTCTCTTAATCTTCTTTGTGCAATTTATATATCAAAATAGGCTAGGGACCTTGTAGCATGCATTGTAAGGTATTCATTTTAACTGTTCTATAGACTAGTTGAACACACCTATCTCCTAAGCCTATATGAACTGAAACAGGAAATGTTATGAAGACATTGAGGAAGAAAATGATTAAAAAAAAAGGAGGAGCTTCATGACCACTGACCTTCCATAATCCATCACTGGCTAATATTACAAACTCAATAGTTGAGTCTATTGGGACACGTCTAACATCAGGCTCTGAGCTTAAATGTGCTTTAAGGCTCTGATCCCCGAAAGCCCGTGCAACTGCAAGTTGGCCATTAACCCTTGGCACATCTCCTGCAATAAGAACAAAGTTTTTAGACTCGAAGCATCATTTGTTATAAAACAATCAAATCATAAACATAACACAGCCTGGAAATTATACAGAACTAATTGAAATCTTGTCAAGGAAATTTCATCTATATGACTCCCAATGAAAGAATGACAAAGTAAATGAAATTGTAAGCAAAAATATATTAACCGGGAAGAGTAGTCACAAAGCCGCCCTGCCTCTCTATTCTTCTCCGTTCGGTATGTGGCTCGTGGTCCACCGTAATTTGATTGGCACTACCTCTCTCACATATGACTGCTCTGGAATCACCAACATTTGCCACCCATAAATCCTTGCCATCAATGACAATTGCTGTTACTGCTGTAGAACCACCATGCCCCAATTGCATGGAGTTCTCTAAGATAAACTTATCCGTGGATCGGTATGCATTCCTTATTGCTGTCTCAGGGTTTTTCCAGAAGTTTGGCTGTGACGAATAGATAAAGAACACAAATTAGTTTTGAGGTGAACCAAATTGAAATTTAACTACAAATCATGGATTCACTCTGAAGGAAGAGGTGACGACCAAATTATTAATAAGCAAAAAGACGTTGGTATATCTTGCCACTTGCCACCAACATGAGAATCGCAAGAAGGATGGAATTGACAGAATAGACTAGGAAAAAGGAGAAGAATAAACTGATAGGGACAGGATACCTCTTCAAGAATATTGTTAAAAAGATTGTCTTTCAAATAACTGGGCACTCGATTCCCCAAGTGACCATCAAATATTGCAAACAATCCAAGAACATGGTCCCCCCTTTTTGTGTATTCAGCAACATGGTAATCTTCCATATCATGACCTGACTGACCTTCTACTAAGTGAAACCCATGAGATACCGTGTTACTGGAAGACTTACTCCTCCCTTTTCCCCCTTTCCCATTATTAGATGATGATGAATTGAGGCATGCAACCTCCTGGAATACAGAGAAACGCATATTGATTTCTGGGGTTAGTAAAGCAATTGAAATTCAATCAGAAGCACAAAGTCAAAGCATTCAAAAGGGTGAATTCTGAGTTCTCCAATTCATATTGATGCCTCTTCAAAAACCCCACCAAATATTGCACTCAATTGGACACATATGGATGATCCAAAGTGCTGAATTCAAAAACAAAGACACAAAAAATATTGGGTTTACCTTGATCTTGGTAAGAAAGCTAGTTCCTTTAGCAGGCCGAGAGGGACCCGGCAGTGATGAAGGTCCGCTCATGTCTTGAAAACCATAAAAAGCAAAGAATTTTGACAGAAGGGTTTTGGTGGGTACAGTCAATCAAGAGAAAACAGAGACAGAGGATAAGGAAGGAGGAGAAGAAGAGTATGAGACGGAAGAAGAAAAAGAAGAAGAAGAAGAAGACGGAGGGTTGTTCAGCTACGCCTACGCGGCATTTCAGTTGGAATTTTCTTTTCTTATTTATGACTTTGATGAAGGGTTCAAGGATTGGAAAAAGCAAGAAGATGACATGAATTTCCGCGTCCAACGTGGGGTCCACAGCGCTCATTTCTCCGCCTTCCTTCCTTGAAACTTCCTATGGACCGCAACGAGTTTACGACTGCAACTACTACATTTTGTTTCCCAAGTCGGAGGCCGATTCATCTGTCGCTCATGACCCGTACCGAACATCTAATCACAAACATGATTCTTATGATTTTTTCACTAAAGCAATGCTAAAAATCGGAATGTTGTAATAATTGATTTAAGTATTTTAAATAAATTAATTTTTATATATTATTAAAATATTTAAATAATTTTATAAATCTATTTACAAAATAAAAATTTTTACTTTAAATTTTGTTTTGTTTTTTAATAATTAATTAAATTAAAAAAAGTAACTGTGTATTTTATTTTTCACTTGATCTTAACGTTATAAAAAAAATATCTTTTTAATGTGACTATATCATATCTTGAATGTTATTTATTAAATTTTAATAATCAAATTTCTTAATTGTAAGAAAAACTTCTTTATTTGATAATAATAAATAAGAAACAGTCTAAATTCGAAAATATTGAATTATATGTTTAATAATTTGTAATATCATACTCACTTCAACTCAAATTTTTTTCTTTTAAACTTCTTTGAAATCAGTATATGCACTTTTGTGAAGCTACAAACCTAAATGCAATTTTACATTTATGATTATTAAGAAATGTAATTTCTTATTTTTAATTTTTAAATTTACTTTTGATTTAAAGAAAATATACATATACAGCCAATAATTTAAATAATATAATAATAATTTTTTTTATTAAAAATAAATAATTTTGAATTTAAATCGTATAATATACTGCTAAAGAAAAATGAGGTAAAAGATAAAAAAAACTACTTTTTATTATCAATCACTATAGAAAAAAAAATATCTATATATATATATATAAACCTTACTAAGTTAATTGCTGTCGAACACTTGAATACTTACATTTACAAAAGTTCCCTCCTAAGTTTTTCAATGTTATAGAAAATAAAATAAAATAAATAAATCAATTGTGAGTTTCTTCTACGTATTGCCTACGATGCCGTACTATTATTTCTAACATTTTTTTATACTGTAGTACCAATCGAGTATTCTTCCCGTCGATCTTTTTATTCAACTCATCCGGCCATGCCGTCGTCTATCTTTAACCTGTCTCCGGCCCAAAAAAAAAAAGGTCTTTAACCTGTCATTTTCATAAAATTCTGTTTAGATGACTTTAAAATTGATGAAAGATAAAGTCAAAGTCGAATCCCACGTTCAAACTCTGTATATTTTAATAAAGCAATTATAATAATGAAAAGAAAAAACAGTACATAAATTAGGTTTCGTGTTGTTCATATCAAATTACGCAATAGAAATGTACTTTAAGCATTAAAATTATTAAAATTTTATTAATAAACTATTTTTTTT